TTGTCAGAAAAAAATTGGCTGAAAACGACGAATTAAGATATAAGTATAATCCGATAGTTTTGTGGAGCATCTAGATAAGACGTCTGATGCAATCGGTAATAATAATTTAAAAAAAAAACTCTCGAGTTTCTTGGAAAACGCGTACTGATTATAGCGAATCCGTTGAGTCAAAGCCGCAACATTGAATAGATTATCTGACAATTGCATCATTCTGTCTAAACGCACCAAACCAAATAATCTAGTAGTCTTCTTCTTTTTTTTTTTGTTTCTCTCGTCTGGGAAAGCCTACGTGATAAATCGTCTGATGCAATCGATAAAAATGAAATGAAATTAATTCGAGTTGATAATAAATGAATCCAACAAACAAACAAAAAAAAATCAATTTCCAAGAGAACTGTTGCATCATTTAAATATTCGCCTGCTCTGATGAAACACGTGTTATTGTTGCTTGTTCTGTTTAAACTTGTCCATTGATAAGTCCGAAATATGATAATTTCGGCACACTTCTTTGAATATTCATTGATCGAACGAAACCGTTAGTTCTCTACAGTTTGTGAATTGTAGTGAAAGTACGGATTTGATATATCCTAAAGTTCATCCTAATGCACTCTATTAATTAGGGAACAGAGGAAGTCGTCTCTTTATATCGAACTTTACATGAAATCTCTTTATTATTTATTACGAAACGTTTCGTCCGTCACGATTTTATTCTCTTTTTTTTTTTTGATTCCCCAACTAAATTGAACCATTGTGAGGCGAACCTATAATTTTCGACGAAACACCGCGGAAAGTTCCATACGAGCAAGCGACTAATACGTTTTTAATTGTAAACTGCTCTCGCCCAATTATTCACACAACAAAAAAAAACACTCAAATCATGCGGTGTCTGTGGTCATACACACACACAAAAAGTATCAAGTGAGCTTCATTCAATTTGACATTATTCATTCAAGAAAAAAGATCGAGTGACCTAATGATTCGATTAAGTCAATTGTTTATGACGGATGATTATTATGTAATAAAGTTAACAAATCGTTGAGTTAATGTGTGAATTTTTAAGAATTGATTAAATTTACGTCATTACGAAAGGATTCAAGAAAATTAAAACATTGAATTTACAATGCCGTAGATTATTAAGTTTTTTTTTTCTAGTGAAATTTTTACGTAAAGATTTTTTTGGGTCCGCTTTCAAACGGTTCACGATCGGGGGCAGAAAAATCCAGGTGAAGAATGGTCGGGTGTGCATTATTTTCAATAGGTTTTGTCCAAATTCTTCGTACAGTGATAATTTCTTGTAAACTTATACACTTTTATATTACATTTAGTTTGCAGAAAGCATTTCGATTATTCAAATTTTCAATTCGTTGGAATAATCGTAGAACGTTGTGGTTTATTATTTGACAGATAAACGTCACCTGCCGATTTGAATGTGTTTGCAATCTATTTCGATACATCTGAAATGAATTATTATCAAAAATTAAGTATGATTTAAGACTTGAATGACAACTTTCAGGATTACTTTCAAATATATTAAATACATAAATTGTTTCGTAAAGGAAAAGAAGATAATTTTATGCTTTATTTGACAGATCAGCTGATACGTGATTAACATTTAAACGTCACTTGTCAGATTATTAATGGTTTGACAAATCAGCTGACACGTCATTGACTTTTAAACGTCACTTGCCGATTTGAATGTGTTTGCAATCTATTTAAATAGTTTCGATTTCTGAAATGAATTATTATCAAAAAATAAATACGATTTAAGACTTGAATGACAATTTTCACGATTAGTTTGAAATATATTAAATACATAAATTGTTTCGTAAAAGAAAAGGAGATCATTTTATGCTTTATTTGACAGATCAGCTGATACGTGATTGATATTTAAACGTCACTTGTCAGGTTATGAATGTCATTGATACGTCATTGACTTTTAAACGTCACTTGCCGATTTGATTGATTTGAGTGTGAAATGAACGATTATCAAAAATTAAGTATGATTTAAGACTTGAATGACAATTTTCACGATTACTTTCAAATATAATAATTACATAAATTGTTTCGTAAAAGAAAAGGAGATCATTTTATGCTTTATTTGACAGATCAGCTGATATGTGATTGACATTTAAACGTCACTTGTCGTTTTAAATGTGTTTGCAATTTATTAAACAGTTTCGATATTGTTATAAAAGAAATACATATGATTAAATAAGCAAGTTCAGACTTGAATAACGATTTTCACAATTAGTTTTAAATATAATAAAGAGATAAATCGTTTCGTAAAGAATTGAAATCATGTGCAATTTATTGGAATGATCTAGAACGTTACGAATGGTTTGACAGATCAGCTGATACGTCATTGACTTTTAAACGTCACTTGCCGATTTGAATGTGTCTGCAATGTGTTAGTAATAAAAATCATTGTGTAATATTATTTAATAACTTGATTCTGTGAATTTTAGGTAAATTTCCATTGTTCTTATAGAATAATTTTTAGAAAGTTTTTTGTCAGATCGTACGCGTTCTGACTTGTCTGACAGTCAGTTGTCGTGTGACAGATGTGTCAGTTTTTCTTTGTAATTTTGGTTAATGCATCTACATTAATATAATTTGAACAGAATTGGAGCAGCAGATCAATTATTAATGATTTTCAGCGAAAGTGGAAATTTCTAAATTGCACTTCCATTTTTTGTTGTTGTTGTTGTTATTGCTTTGTTCGTTGTCGTCCGAAGAGATTTCATTAATCATCAGGTACGGGCGACGATGATTAAGTCTGCTCTACCTTGCGAGATTAGTTAGTGCATGCATATTATTCTATCCTTCTTCTGTTCACTTCTTCGTCATCGTCGTCGTCGTCTTTCTTTATTTCTGTTCCATCCAGTTCAGACCAATATTTGCTTGAGCCGAGCCTCCGCCTCCCTCTACCAGTCTCTTGTATTATATACAACTTCCTTTTTTATCTTTCTTTCTTCATCTTCTAGAACTTTCTAGATCGGTTTGGCTGGCTACTGCTACTGCAATCGAGTGCGAGAGGCGAGCAAGCAGGTCTCGACTAGGCTCAAACTTGTACAGACTCGTCTCTTCTAATAATAATAATGGGAACTGTATTGGACGGACGGCCCGAATTTCCTTTTGGCATGCGTTTCCATGCGTACCTCCATCCAAAACGCGTGTGCTTTGCTTGCTTTCCGAACAAAGGAAAACCGGCACATCCATCCTCAATCGATTTCCCCCCCGTGTTCGTGTGCGCACCACACCGGTATTTCCATCACCACCTCTAAACTAAACTAACTACCGGTTATATATATATATATATCCAATACATAATTAAACCAAAGTTAACAACAACAAAAAATAATAATAACTTATCCCATAAATCTAATGTAACATTATAAAATCTCCAAATGGAATTACAAAAAGAAATGAAATAAATGAAGCACAAAATCTGGAAAGTTCTATTCAGTAGAGACAGATTATAAATTCGATTCAATTCGAAAATCGATTTTGTTTTCTCTTAGAACATTCGATTTGACAGTTCGTTTTTCGATTAGATTTTTAAATTTTTGTATCAATTACTCTTTGAATATGCGAAACAATTGAATATGAAAAGGGTTAATTAATGTTTCTGAAAAAAAATTGGAACATTCATTTGATCGGTTCAGACTTATCAGTTTTGTTTGTTTTTTTTTTCATTCTGGAACGTTCGATTGGTTCAAACTTATCATTTCTGACAGTTGAAACGTCAGATTTGAAACGTCAGTTGAATAATTTAAATATCATATACATTTATATATATTTTCATCAATTACTCTTTGGATTTGAAAACAATTGATGATGGTGATGAAAAGGAACATTTGATTGGTTCAGACTTGTCAGTTTTTCTTTTAAACGTCAATTGAATTTTATTAAATTGTTTTTGGTGCGTCGATTTCATTGTTTTTCTCTCTCAATATCATTTGTTTAATTCGATTCGAAAAAAAGAAATTTGTTACATTTTTCTGGAACCTTCTGGAACGTTCGATTCGTTCAGACTTGTCTCTCTGACAGTTCGTTTTTCGATTACATTTTAAACGTCATTTTAATATATATATTTTTATCAATTACTCTGTGAATTTGAAAACAATTGATGATGATGATGATGAAAAGGGTTACTTAATAGGAAAAATCTGGAACATTTGATTGGTTCAGACTTGTCAGTTTGTTTTTTTTGGTTAGATTCTAAATGTCAGTTTGAATTTTTTTTGTACAATTAGGTTTTCATTTGTTTCTAAACATGATTAACAATCAACGAATATTGCGTAAACAATTGATGGATCACATCGATTTTCATTTGTCTTATGTGACTGTGAAGTGATTGGCAATGAAATTACGGTTAATTGGAGCTTACAAGAGTAACCTTCGGTTTAACCTTAAAGCAAAACCGATGCAGTTCGACTACTTAACAGTGATTTATTAATTGATTGATTTTTTCGTGTGGATTTAAGAAGTTCGATGGTGCATGTTTGATCGCAGTGGGTTAGGTGAGAAGGGAAGAGAGCCGCAACAAGTTCGCGTGATGATGTAATTTATTTAGTTTTTTTTTTAGTTTCGTGGGGTGGCAACTCGTTAATCGCACCTGGGGGTTGGGGGAGTTTTTTTTTTGTCGTTGTAGTTGTTGTTATCGCACTCGGCTATGGAAATAAATTTAAAAAACAAAGATAAAAGAGGTTGTCAAATGGTGACGGTGATTCGGTTGAGAGTGCAAGAGGAAGACCTTCTGGTCCTCGGTGTTTCCTTCGGTAAGGAACAAAGAATTAAATTGTGATATTTATTATAAAATGTGTTCCCGTGTATAAAGAGTTTTGTACATACATACTTATACATATATACATATATATATGTACATACAGTGTGTCGGAGATCACGTAGCCACATTGGAGACGGAGACGGCCGAAGCGAGGTTCGGGCCCGGCGTCGTTGGAGTGGGGGATATGAGGGTATATAAGCGAAGCACAGCTGATTACCAAACAGTTGCTTAACAGTTGCCAGTGAATCCTGTGCTGGAAGGAGAAGAGCTCTGCCGGCTTTGTTCTCCCCATTTGTGATATAATTTTTAAGTGATCACCCTCAAAAAACAACACGACAGAAATGGAGGTTTTATCCTTGGCCAACGTTGATTACAACAATCAAGAAGGTAAGAATCGACGAAAAAATCATCCCTTAATTTTCCTTGAAACAAAAAAAAAATTAAAATTAAGCAAGAGCAAATTTTCGAAATCCAGGAAGTCTTCCTGGAGGACGACGTTTCCTCTTTCTTTTTTTTTTTGCATTTCTTCTTCTTGGTCCTCATCCTGCAGCAGCCTATCTGGATTTCTTTTATCCTTCTTTCGTTTTGCTCGACGTTCTCGGTTCTATTAGTGTGTCAGAGCGAATCAGCTGTAGTTCCCTACCGGCCGGCTTTCTATTGGTCGCTCTGACCTCGAGTGACCTCCTCGGAGCGCTTGGCAACAGCAGCCACAGCTAGAAGCGCGCACACACACACACACAATCGTACACACATACATACAGTTGAGAGCCAATTTCACTCAGTTTCTCAATTAATTCGCTTTCCTTTTTGCAATTACCGGCGACTTAAAGGAAGAGAGCTAACTAACAAACAAAACGAAAAAAAATAAATAATAAAGAAGACAAGTAATAGATGAAAGAAAGAAAGAAAAAAAAACTGGATTCATAACTCCCTCTTCACCCCTTCGTGAAACTTTTCCCCTCTAACGACCTTCGCAAACTAGTGGTGGTTTGACGTTTGATGGAAGAGCCCCCTTCGATACAAAGAAATGCTCATCTTCACGAAACTCCTTTGTTCCAATTCGGGGGAAAAATCCTCCGATTTCCATCGACTCGATCCCCTTTTTCAAACTTGTTCCAACAAGTTTGAAGAATTATTATTATTAAAATCTTTTCAATTATTAATTTTTCCAACGAATTAGATAACGATTTGATTAAATTAATTAAAATAAATGAGTTTTCGAGTGGGCTACAATCTAGGCACGAAAACAAAAGATTTTTTTTGTTCTATTATCTACGAAATAATAATGATAATGATGGGAAAAAAATAATGGTTTTCGCAATTGAAGGCGCTTTTATTTTATTGATTAAACTAGAGCAGATTTCGAAACGATTACAGCCATTATCGCCGCTTCAGATTACGAAAATCAGGAAGTCTCTACTTTGAATATAATTATATATTTTTTTGTTTGTTAATTTTCGTTTATTTAATTTTTTTTTTGTTGTATGTTTGTTGCAGAATGCGCGTGGAGTTACGACTCTTATCCGTTCGCATGCGAAAGCGAGTGCACGAAGGCCGTCAACGACTTGGCCGATCGACTCGAAGAAGAACTGAAGTTCGCGAAGAGGAACCACTTCAACTCTGGAGAGGTGCTGCTGCCCTTCGGTCTTCTGCAGAGGATATCCAGGGATATCCTCGAGGAGGCGGAGCAGGAACCGTGCGGCATCCGCGGCTGCACCCTCTACCTGCACTTCAAGGGCGAAGACAACAAATCGTCCAACAACAACAACAATAACAACAACAATGGGGTGTCGTTGGGAACAGTCAAGTTCGATCGTTCGACGGCGTCCACGTTCGAGATCACGCTCCTGCTGAAGCAGTCCACCGCCGGCTGGAACTCTTTCCTACCCCAATTTTTAAAGTAAGTCCGAATCTTTCGCAACCGAATTAATATAATAAGATGATATTAACGAGTTGTTTCTTATTGTTTTTTGCAGAAAGATAACGAGGGGAGGCACTGTGATGATCGACACCGATTACAAGCTGGTAAAGAACAAGCTGTACCGCTCTTACGTCGAATAAGAGCGGGGCATCTTCGACGTAACCTTTTCCTCGAAGAGTGTGTAAGAAGAAAAAGAAGGAGAAATGCAGGAGACGCCGTCATCGTATAGGCGCAGACCACACGACTCCACGTACTATCTACTACACTACAAAGAGAGTCGCGAAAGGGAAAAAGAAAGAAAATAATAACCTACTACTTAGCGGTTTCTTTCAAAAAAAAAATTTAAATTTAAGTTTTGAAAACGCTCTAACAGTAAGTTCATCAAAGACTGATCTATCTTATATATATATTACACACACACACCCATATATATATATTTATAACAAAACAAAAATTAATCGTGAAAACTTCATTTTTCGTTCAAATTAGTAATACTTATTGCATCAAAAGAACCATATCATATCACCCGCGTTTGAATGCAAACTGATAACTTCATCGTCTCTTTATTAACGTGTTATTTATTTTATCGCATATATATTATATATATATTTGTTGGAAATCTTCGTCTATTAACGGTTAGAATGTTTTTTTTTTGTTTCTCGTGGCGCGTGTATGTGTACGTTGAATGTGGTGGATGATGTTTGTTTTTTTTTTTATATATATATAGAAGCGAATCGTGATAGAAACGTGAAAAGAAAATTATTGGAAAAAAAAATTGATAAAAAAAAAACAGAGATTTATATATACATTATATAGATATATATACATATTATATAAATTTAAGCGTAGAAAAGTAATGAAACAACAAAAAAAAAATTGATATAATAAGTGTGATTTTCGGTAGTGATTTATAATTTTTTTTTGGCAATAATTCGTATTTTCTAAAACAAAAAAAAAACCCCCATTTCTGTATTTTTTTTTATCGGCAATATTTGGGGGCGTTAAATTTCATTTTTTTATATTTTTTTCTCCTGGAATTTTACGTTTATTTATAAAAGTCGTTCAATCTCACATTTTGAATTACACGCGTTTACATTTACTTCTTCGTAAATCAGTATTTGAAATATTTTAAAGCAAGTCTAAGTGGGCGGTGGGACTTGATTTCAATTGTTTTGATTGCCCCCCTTGTGAGTAGATTGGGTGGGAGTTGTGATTATTTTTTTTAAGATGATAGAGAGAAAAAAAAAGTTTTAAAAAACTATATATATATATATTATTATATATACACAAAAAAAATGAATATAATTGATACAAAAATAATAATAATAATTATACTTAGTTTTTACGTTGTGATATTAGTTTAAAAAAAAAAGAAAAAAAATATAGAAAACGGAAGGGAGTGCAAAACAAAAAGAAAAAAATATTGATGATGATTGTTGGATACACGAGAATCGTGTCGAGGGGGATTTTGCTGAAAGGAAGAAACATTTTTTTTTGTTTATATTTGTAAACTTAGGAAGTAAGCTAAGTGTGAGGAAGAAAAACAAAAAAAAAATTGGTGTTACAAAGAAGATGAAGGAAAAGAGTTGGCTGTGGCAAATCTCGACCCCTGTCCAAAAGAGTTTGTTTGACAGAAACAAATGCTGGCGTTGGGCGGAGTCTTCAATTTACGTGTTTCTTTTGTTGCTGTTGTTATTGTTATTATTTTGTTTCATTTTCTTGAAAATCAGTATTTTTTGTTTTTTGCCTACGCCGACTCTATTCGCTTCTTCGATAAAACAAAAGCGTCCAGAACTCTCTCTCTCTCTCGTCTGTATTTTTGTGCGTGTACACTGTAATCATTTTTCTTTCTATATTTTTTTTTGTTTGTTTTTCTTTCCACGATCTGATCTCAAGATTGAATGTGAATATGTAAAGAAGTGAGAGTTAAGTAATGTTGATATGGATTTAAGTAAACTTGTGAATTTATATATTGTACGAAAAATTAATATCGATCGATGGAAGAAGAAGTCGAACGCTCGATGATGACGATTCATTGTTGCGTTTGCATTTCTTTTCTTCTTTTTTGATAACGGAACCGATGTGTATAAACAAAAAAAAATTAAGATGATAGTTCTTGTGTTATTAGCTCGTATTAAACAAAACAAATAATAATAATAATAATTAAAAACAAAAAAAAAACTACATATTATATACATATAAAATATATATATATTTATAGAGATGAATAATTATAAGAGAAGAGAGGCTATCTCGGCATTTATATGCCTTTTTTTTAAGGAAGAATACAAAGGAGAAAACGAAAACAAACGAGAAAGAAAAAAAAAAAGTTTAATAATTACTATGATAAAAGGTATATACTTATAACTATTAAGTTCTCTTTTTTTATTGTATAGATTATATATAATATAATATTCTAGTTTGTAGATTTTGTATTTTTGCCTAATGTGTGATAGTGCAGATATTCTGTGCAACAATTCTAATAATACCTTTTTTTATATGTAAACATATATATATATATGAAAAAAAAGATTATATTGAAAATGAAAAAAAAAAGCATTTTTAAAAATAATAAAAATAAAAAAAACAATAATAAAAATTTACTTGTATTTCTGACCCGGCGCCTCCGCCAATTTCCCATATTCCTTAATAAATCGCTCAGTTCTTGAGTTTTGACTCGTCTTTCAATTTCGATGATCAATCAATAGTTGGTTTTGACAGTTGATTTGAACTGTCATATGCAATCAATCAATAGTTGGTTATGACAGTTGAATTGAACTGTCATAAGCAATCAAACAATAGTTGGTTATGACAGTTGATTTGAACTGTCATAAGCAATCAATCAATAGTTGGTTATGACAGTTGAATTGAACTGTCATAAGCAATCAATCGATAGTTGGTTATGATACAGTGGGATTGAAGCGAATCAATCAAAATTGGTTGTGACAGTTGAATTGAACTGTCATAAGCAATCAATCAATAGTTGGTTGTGACAGTTCATTGACAGAAGGTAGAGAGGTAAAAAAAAAGTGAGAGAGAGAGAGAGTGGATGAAACTAATTGTATCGATTGAGTTGCGTAACTTGGCAACAACCTTCGCTGACATTTGTCAGCTTGACAACAGAGACGTCAAATCGCACACGGTCTAATCAAATTTGATGACAATACAATGCAATTAGTTAATTAATAAGCTACAATTAACCGTTCGACAAAAGTCCTTTATTCTAAATGCGAACGCTACAAAGCAACGTGATAATTGGTAATCACGTAATATGTATAAATATAACCCATAATAACATCGCACTCGTAAATTTTACAAATTGTTCTTTTTTGTTTGCAAATATCACAGAAGAAGTGATTGATTAATTATTAAACGATACAAAATTGTTTCGTTTCAAGGCCTGCTTATGCAACACGCAGTAAGAAACAATTGATTGATGCAGATCAGCAATAAGTCGTTTTTTGTTGCTACGAAACGAAAACTGAAATAAATGAAATATAAACAACTAGTTACAGTGGCGATCTGTTTTCATTAGCACCACAAAGGCTTTCCGACCAGATTTTTTTCTTTTTGTACATGCTCGCTCGCTCGAAAACACGCTAAATAATTTATGACATTGCCGCGCGTATTCTTTCTCTCTCTCGATTATCATTACTATTTGCCTCGTGTATAATTATAATTCACTTTGCGGACGTGACCTTCCCGCGAAAATTGAGCACAAAAAGTTAAAGAAGTAATGAACAATATTGTATGTATTTTCAATTTTGATCTTTATACTTAAAATTGACTTTTTTAATTTGTGCGAACATAATGTGAGTCAGACGTATCGTTTACTTGCATAATCGTTTTATTCTTTAATTAAATTCGATTTAAGTGAAATATATATACATAATTGAAGTTTGAAGTGAAGTTTAAAATATTAAAACAAAATTTTGCAACTTCATTTGTTTAATGCAATGATGCCACTGCGATTCGTGAGCAGGTAATTGCAGTTGTTGCAATCATGTGACGGATTGCATGCACGTGACGACGAATGTCAAAAGCTAATTAGTCGACCCCCTCCCGCCACCGAATATTTTAGGTGAGAGAGTGCTGTGCTTCTGCTGCTGCTGCTGCTGCTGCACTCACACGATCGATTGCACTGCTCCTAATTACTCTTTTCGAGGGTGGCTTTAAAATCTAGATTTTTTATGTTTTTTTTTTGTTTGAATGGGGGGGAATCCCCGTGGGAGGGTTACATGATGTCGGGGTTTTTGATGGGAACAGAGGGCGAGGGAGGTTTTTGTCCCCCCCTGGATCGTGCATGTATTTTTAGCGTTCGGTTCGAGAGCCCACCGTATCGCCAATATTTATATAGACGAAGACGAAGGAAGGAGGAATACGCGAATGCAACAAAACGGCGAACACCACATGTGCTGCTCACAATTAGTTCAAGCCAGATGAGAAAACTTTAATTATCGTTCTTTTTTCTGCTTGCTCTCTCTCTCTCTCTCTCTCTCTGTCGACATGTGAAACAACACCAAACATTGTAATTATGCAATGTTTTTCATTTATTTTAACTCCCTAGCAACGCCTCGTAAACATGATGATGATGATGAGCAGATTAAGGAGGCTTTGACAAAACAAATTTGAGCTGATGTTGTTGCATCATCGGCGCACGTTTTGCTCAAAAAATAATCAAACAAACAAGCAAACATGTTACAGAAGTGTATCCGGATAAAGAATATCTATCATCAATAAGTAAATGAGATAAACTCCACCTGACGTACAAGTTACGAAATAAAATAAACAAATTCGAATCATCATCATCATCACCATGGATGCACTTGTTGTTTTTGTCGTCCCTTTAATTGTCATAATTATTTCAAGAGTCGCAATTCGTAACAATTATCAAAAAAAGTAAAATGAAGAAAACCGAGAGCGATGCAATTTTTTCGCACCTGCAGTTACCACATGAGTCACCACCATATGGGACACCTGACCCATTGTGCATTTCTGTGGGCCCGCATCCACCTGACGCTTATTTTGACAACAACTTGTTTTGTACCTGCGACTGCCACCAATCATTTCTGACGTTTTCATTGACGTTCAGATGCATGGCACCCTCGCAGATATTTATACTTGCTTGGTTGCTTAGTTACAATACAATAACAATTGAGTAATCAAAGTAAAAGATAATTAATTAAATTTGAATAACAACAACAGTTGTATTTCAATAACTAAATCAGATATTTAGATAGGAAAATTGGAAACCTGGAAACTGCTTTGTTCGAAGTTAATTATCGATGACATACAATATTCCTGTTTACGAAGAAAGTGGCGGTGATAAATCCGGTAGTCCAGCAATCAACATCTAAAAAGTCAATTAAAAGTGAAATTAGATAACCGGATGATTAGACGATTAGAAAACTCGAATTTTAACTACGAGGATAAAGAAGCAGGTTGTATAATTACTCACCGGATCCATCTCCTCGTCCATCCAGTTTTCTAATCAATCTAGTCGGATCGGGACAATATTTACAAATAAATATCATTTGCATATAACCGTTTCTCGATTATGGAAAGAAATTAAATTTGTAATCGCAATACGTTTCCGTATTCGAATGATAATAATATGATGAAACTCGGAATCTCCGCTGCTACCTGTTCGAATCCATAATGCATAACGATGGGTATTGCTGCAATTATAAATTTATAGTGTGTTGATGATCCCGTCCATCGAATAACAATCGAAGCCCGAATTTCCATTGACACACATCGAAGACATCCGTTCAATTTATTTGTTACGTATACCAATCAAGCAAGCAAGCTCCTAATTTCTATTGTTTCAATTCTTTGTTGATATTTGTTTAAAGTTTGTTAATTATGTTGCACATCAAATGATGATGATTAACGAAGGGAAAGAGAGGAGTTTTTGAGGGGAGGTGGGAATAGGAGATGAGATGCTGACCGTGCAAAAAGAAAAAAGGAGACGAAAATCCATGAGCTGCTCAAGATTCATGCCGGATAAGAAACTCTGGTTTTGTCACGCCACCAAGATATTCATTGTTTGGAAAAACAAGGAGAGGCCGATGATTGATGGATGGACGACCGACCGACCCATCGAGATTGGAAGTGTTGTCGTGATAAATGTGTTTGCGGGGGGAGAAGAGCAAAAAAAAATGCTTAATTTAATACTTTACTCCATGCCTGCAATATAATAACAATAATGTACACATCGAATGCGCGATTTGTTTGGAACACGCTGAGATAATGGTGTACTTTTTTTTTCGTCTGTTTATTTGTTATTAGCTAGTTGCCGTACGTTACATTACATAACGAGTGCTATAATTGGGCAAACATTTGCGCCAATCAACGCATCTATTTTTGCTACATTATTGTTCGCATACACAAGTTGTTGTATTTTCTATGTATTTTTTTTTGTTCTCTCGCGCGAAATGCTAAAAATAGCTGTGTAAAAATGTTGTGTGCATTGTTTTACTTGCACCGGCTTATCTAAATATAAATGAGACCATTACGGCTAACAACTGCAGGTAATTTCTTTTTATACCTCAACAAATGAAACGTTGACTTTTGAAATAGAAAGTTAGAATTAGTGTGTAAGAGAGAGAGAGAGAGAAATAAAAACAGGATTCTCTTAAATGCCCTACGAGGATTTCGGGGTACTTTTCCATGGAATAGCAGGTAGTTTTCCAGCAATCGATGCGGTGGAATCTCCCCCCCCAACAAAGCAACAAAAAAATATACCCTGCGCGCAGTGGAAAATCCCCAAAATCCATCTATCTACCAGCACTTTACCATTGGAAACAGGTGGCGTAGACTATGCGTTATTATTATCTGCTATCGTGTGAACGAATTCCTCCTCATCCAAAATCAAGTTGGCCTCGTCCCTATAATGGATCTCCTCATCTCTGTGCCATCCCTCGAAGTCGAAACGCGGAAAGAACAACCCGATCTCCTTTTTCGCGCTCTCGTCCGAATCTGTAAGCATCACGAACGTATGTTACACGATGAGCGCGCGTGCATGTCGCGGTTGCATACCGGAACCGTGCGTTGCGTTCCTCGTATCCGACAGGCCGAATTTGCCCCGGATCGTTTCCGGCTCGAAGAACTGCGTGCGGAAGACCTTCGTCGGACCCATCAGCTTCCTCCACTCCTTGATCCCATCCCGTCTCGCCAGAATGTACAGGTCGATGGGACCGCTTCAAAAGAACGCTCAATGAATTATCGTTACGACTATCTTATAAAAGACGTACCTAGTCATGAAGGTGGTCAGTCGGTTGTAGAAGAACTTGCCCTCGTGTTCCGAGTAGAATCGTTCCGCGTCCGGCAGTGATAACCTCTTCCTCTCCGAGCGCACCACTTTGAAATCGGCCGCCAATATCATCCGCCGGATATCCTGCAGCGCGACCGGCTGACACACGACGTGCGGCTTTATTATCGCCAATGTCAGCTGCAAACCTTTGGCCAACATCTTCACGATTCACAACAACCCGAACTTCTCGTTATCTACAAGTAAAGATTGAGGTTAATAAATAGCACTTTACATACTTCTTGATGATTACCAATGACATTCCGCAGTTTTGAATTCAAAACAAACTCACTCCACCCAGTGGCGTATCTTGAAGCGCAACTTTCAACTGCTTACATTTACCATCATTTGTTTACTCAAATCTCCCTTGACAATAAAACAAAAACAAATTGTAAATCACAATACGATAACAGATATCAGCACTATCATTTTCAAACATAACTCACTTCCTGCTATTATGGTATGCAACCAAACTTACCTCTCTGGTTAACTTATTTCAATCAGTGGACCGTCAGTTGCTTGTTAATAAATTCGTCTTTAGGGAGAACTAGAAAAAGAAATTCGTTAAGTATAAAACTATATATATATATATATTTATATTGTCGCCGCTTTTAGTTTTACAACATTGGACGCAACAACTATAAACCATTCTAATGCACAACTATATTAATTAAATTGTTCTTAGACCATACATATACATATAAAAAGAATTATAGAAATGTTACTTACTTGCTTGTGTTCTTGACAATAGCGAAACAAAAATGGGCGAAATAAAACAAACTTACGTATAATCACGGATAACTTGAAAAAGTTTTGTAATCGTGAAACAAACGGAAGTAAACATTTGAAATAGTTCCGAGTGGTTCCGAACGTCTCGAGTTCAACCGATTCGCTCTAAAAATCACTAAAAAAAAATCTTCTTCTCTCTGAACATATAGGCTAGCAGATAATACCAACTCAAAATAAAAGGACTAGTTTTTGCCCTATCCTGTGCAGGAGGCACCCTGATTTCAATTTGCGTAATAACACTTAAGTAATTATTACATAATTAAGTTAAATTATGCTATTATCATTACTTGTTTATAGAATGCATTTTTTTTAAATGTTAAATTCATGTTATTAGAGAAATTAATCGCGGTTTGTACAATTACGCGTTAAAATGTTTCATCAATATGTATGTGTATTGATTATTCAATCGTGCCACAAAATTGCAAATTCATTGGGAAAAATCGCAAACATTATGCAATTAACGGTTTAATGCGAAGATAGTTGCGCAAGTGCAATTTTCCAATTTGAATGCTACGGCGACTTTGGAAAATATCATGTAATCAGATAGGTGTAATCAATTGTAATTGTAAAAAAAAAAATTAGCTGAAATTGCGTGTCACGTGTCTGAATTCCGAGTGTATTCGACCCCGCGCACATCCACGCACAACGTATTGTCTATATCGGCTGTCAGTTTGGTCGCAGTCGCGACTCCTGTCGAAATTATAATCTACGAAAAAAAAAAAGGAAAACAGTAACAAAAAAATAATAATTTAAGTATTTAAGTTTTAAGAACGACTGCTGGAAGTAACAATGAGTGCGATCCTGAAAACGGCGAACCTCCTCGCAGCTTCCACGAAGGTAACTGAATACCTCTCTCTCACCTGTGCAACGGTTGTTAACCTTAAAACAAAGTTCATTACATAACAGAATATATATAACGAATTAAAGGTTTTTAAGGTTTAGTATTAATTAAACTTGAATTCTGCTTCGATTCACATAAAGCATTCGATTACGAGAATCGTTCGCGTTACGTAATGATTGATTGATTTGGAAACTTTTTGTTTTTTTTCTTGGCAGGTTGGACTGAGCAGGCCAGCCCTATCGAAAGCCCTGCACATCTCAGTCAACCGTAAAGATGCTAAAGTTAACACCAGCATGTCATCATCGTATCCGGTTATCGATCACGACTATGATGCTGTGGTCGTCGGAGCTGGAGGCGCTGGACTCAGGGCCGCCTTTGGACTTGTCGCCGAGGGATTTAAGACTGCTGTCATTACGAAACTGTTTCCGACCAGATCTCACACCGTAGCAGCTCAAGGTGGTATCAACGCTGCTTTAGGTGAGTTTGTTTTTCAAGTTTATTGTATTTGGAGGATGTAACGAAATGCAATGCAATTGCAGGCAACATGGAGGAAGACAATTGGCAGTGGCATATGTACGATACGGTGAAGGGATCCGATTGGCTGGGCGATCAGGATGCCATCCATTACATGACGAGGGAGGCGCCGAAGGCTGTCATCGAGCTGGAGAACAACGGAATGCCGTTCTCGCGTACGCAAGACGGTAAAATCTATCAGAGGGCCTTCGGAGGTCAATCTTTGAAGTTCGGCAAGGGCGGACAAGCTCACAGATGCTGCTGCGTAGCGGACAGGACCGGGCACAGTCTGTTGCATACCTTGTACGGACAATCGCTTCGCTACGACTGCAATTACTTCATCGAGTACTTTGCCATGGATTTGCTGATGGAGAACGGAGAGTGCCGAGGCGTTATCGCCATGAACCTCGAGGATGGTAGCATCCACAGATTCAGAAGCAAGAATACTGTAATTTACTAATCGATTCCATATAATATTCGATCGATTAATGATGTCTGTGTTTTCGTTAGGTATTGGCGACGGGCGGTTACGGTCGCGCCTACTTCTCCTGCACGTCCGCCCACACCTGCACCGGTGATGGTACTGCCATGGTGAGCCGCGCCGGTCTCCAGAACCAGGATTTGGAATTCGTTCAATTCCATCCGACTGGCATTTACGGTGCCGGCTGTTTGATCACGGAAGGTTGCCGCGGCGAGGGTGGCTACCTGATCAACTCGCAAGGTGAAAGGTTCATGGAGCGTTACGCCCCCGTAGCCAAGGATCTGGCATCACGCGACGTCGTTTCCCGCAGTATGACCATCGAAATCCGCGAAGGTAAAGTGTCGAAAACGAAATTTTTATTCATAATTTTACAGATTGTTAATTGAATTATTTATTTGGTAGGTCGCGGTTGCGGACCCGAAAAGGATCACGTCTTCCTGCAGCTGCATCATTTACCAGTGGAGCAGTTGCACTCGCGTCTGCCTGGCATTTCGGAGACGGCGATGATCTTCGCCGGCGTCGACGTGACCCGCGAACCGATCCCCGTACTTCCGACCGTCCACTACAATATGGGCGGCGTGCCGACCAACTACAAGGGACAAGTGCTGACCAACGAGAACGGTCAAGACAAAGTCGTTCCCGGACTGTACGCCTGCGGCGAATCCGCTTCCTCGAGCGTGCACGGCGCCAACCGTCTCGGCGCCAACTCGCTTTTGGATTTGGTCGTCTTCGGCAGAGCTTGCGCCAAGACCATCGCCGCCGAGAACAAGCCAGGAGAGAAGATCGGTGCTCTGAGCCAAGTGCGTACGTTTGTTATCAACGGGCGTTCCGTTGTTCAATGATGTGGTGTTTATTTTTAGAACGCCGGTGAATTCTCCGTCGCCAATCTGGATTGCGCTCGCTACGCCAACGGCAGCATCCCCACCGCCGCTCTCAGATTGAACATGCAGAAGACGATGCAAGCGCACGCTGCCGTCTTCAGGACTGCGAGCGTCCTCCAGGAGGGCATCAAGAAGATGGAACAGCGCTACAAGGAACTGAAGGACGTCAAGGTCCACGACAGCAGTTTGATCTGGAACTCCGATCTGGTGGAGACACTGGAATTGCAGAACCTGATGTTGAACGCTATGCAGACCATCGTCGGAGCGGAGAACCGTAAAGAGTCCCGTGGCGCTCACGCCAGGGAGGACTTCAAGGACAGAATCGACGAGCTGGACTACAGCAAACCGTTGGACGGACAGACCAGGAAGCCCATGGAGGAGCACTGGAGGAAGCACACTCTGACCACCATGGATCCATCCACCGGTGAAGTTACCATTAAATATAGGCCCGTCATCGACGAAACTTTGAACCAGCAGGAGTGCGCCACCGTTCCCCCAGCGATCAGATCGTACTAAACTAGTCCCTAATTCGAGAGCGTTGTTAATTGTTAATTTAAATGATGGGGAAAGGCAAAGGGAAGAAAAACAACGGCTAACAGCTGTTATTATTCTAATTATTATTATTATTATTTAATTATTTTTTTGAAGTATTTGCACCACACAACCAATAGGCGTAGATAGAGAGCATTAATTTATTTTCGTTTCCCTTACCCTTATAGACATGATTTGTTATTATTTATTTTTTATTTTATCAATCCTTGGAGGGGAAATCCACGGTACAAACTTATTTACGATCGCATTAGGAACTAAACTATAAAGAAACACACAAACACAGCGAGGCTACACTACATATACATATGATCAGAACAAATTGATTCTTCGACAGACCTATGGAACCTGGACTTGGTTTTAATGGCAAAGAAAATATAATTATTAATTTTATTCTTCTTGAGACTCTTGATGAATTGATGATCATCCCCCCCCCCCACAGAAACGTCATCCCAATTTCCCCCTATACATACCGCTCGACGCTGAAGTATTTAAATTTTAAATTATTTTTTGAATTTAAAAAATAATAAAGCAATTGAATACCACTAGATGGCGTTTTCATTCATTTAATTCATTTCGTCATTATTACTGGGGTTTAATTGATGATAAGCAATGACAATTGATGGAAACAACAATATTCGAATAATTAGGTATTGTTAAGTAATGATTTAGTTGAGAAATCAGAAAGAGGACAGAGCTCAAACCAGGGGACCAAAGACGCTGTGTGGTAGCGTACCCACGCAAATTTGAAAATCGAGTGGCGCCATCTTCAGTGGTCTCTATGGAACCTTTTTGAGCATTTTTTAAACTTTGAACACGAATTACAGCCAAACGGATAAAACCACAGTAATATATGAATATTCGTTACATTC